TGCCGGCTGGGCTTGAACCACGACACAGTAAAAAAAAAAAAAAGAGAGCAAAAGTTCATCATGAAAAGAAGAGAGTGTTTGAATAAATGATAATTACAGAATTCATATGCCCTAGATTTAACACTTTTCCCAACAGGTAGTTTTTTAGATCTTCCACTAATTTTTACTTTGGTACTTTTTTTTATATATACTATGGAGGAACTACCTACAGGCCATCAGCGCTATTCCCAATACATGGAAACCTGAATCAGACTTCCAAGAGATTATAATGCCTACTTCAGTCTCAGCTTAGCCTTTTATCATGGGGCCTTTTCCAGGTGCAAACTTTCCTATTAGCTGAAAAGGTGGAGATTGTAACTCAGCTCTTGTCATTGTCATGATCTGGTTAGCAGAAGATTCAATGACCTCATGTATCTTTTCCTTAGAAACCAACCAAAGTACCTGTGTAGCATGTGCAGTGCTTAGTGGCTTGAAACATCACAAAATATGGGCATATATCTCTCTGACAGTTTTATCTTTCTGACAATATATCTTTCTGCTCAGGGAAGCATTGCCCTTCCATTCTTTCCTTTCTAGGTAAATGAAAAAAAAAAAATACTAGGAATGAATGAAAAATAAATAGATGAAAATAAATCTGGAAAGATGTCAGAAATACTGTTGTATATGTTGTATATATGAAACTAGGAATAAAATATATGCCCTTCACTTCTCAAAAACCAGAACCATACAAATTTCAATTCCCAATACCTTTTTTTGCATTCGAATGCAATTCCAATTGTAATAAACTGTTTCCAACTTTTTGTTAGACTGAACCAGAACAAAAGGCAAGATTATTCAAACACAGTCAATCCTTTCGTTACTAAAAAATTATAAAACCAAAAACTTTTGCTATATATACAGATGTCTAAACATTTTACTTACTTGAAATGGAGATCTTTGCCTTTATCTTACCTTGGCTACAGTTGTGATGTCATTAAACTGTGTTTTTAGTTCTTCTTGAGTTGCTTCTCCAAAAGACTCATCCTCTGTTTTTTCATACAGTTCCACAGCCTTTTTGACGAGTTGCTGTAAATCACTAGTGTGATTCTCTATCTCAGAAAAAATAGCCTGGAAGTGGTCCAGCTGAGCAAACTTCTCCTTCAGACCAATCTGTGGTTCTAAAGGCTGTTCCACTTTGTGATCCATTTTCTCTAACCACTGCTCCAGCTGGTTTTTCCTTTCCAGAAATTCATTCCACTGGCTAATGACAGAATCTAGGCAGCTTACATTAAAAGAAACATATACAGCACAGATAAGAACTTCTGATTAGTCTGGAGAAAAAAAAAAAAAAGACCCTTCTTATAGCTTAATGTTACACTGCCTCTAGCCATGTATAATATGTTTAGAATATGCTTTTTCCTCCATCTTGCTTCAGTTTTCTATGTCAATTTACATCCAAGTTAGTCTATAATTCCTGGGGTTTGGGGGGCTACTACATCAGCTGGGTACAACTGCTTCCCTGTTACAGATTACATGAGCAATCTGTCCGTCTCAGACTAATGAAAAGGACATAGAATCATAGACTAGTGTCTGTTCACCAAAGTAAACTACAGAGCATTTCTGTAGTTCTTTATGATTGGAGTCAAAATTCACAGCAGCCTATGAAGTTATTGACAACTAAGAGACATTCTGGTGAGTTCTGGAAGAACAAATCAATTGTATATAGTCCCATTTACAATTTTTAAGAAATATTCTCTTCTCCTAGCAGATTACCATATTTCTTGGGGATTTGCACTGAGGAATGTAATTCTCGTTCCACTGGATGTAATGATAGACATGAGTTTGTGAGGATTTTATTCAAAACATAATGGTCTAACCTAATCTAAAGACAAGAGGAAATCAGCTTAATATGCAAGAAAGATTATTTGGAGTAGATATTGGGATTTTTAAAATTTTTTTTTATTTTTAATTAAAAAAACATAATGAAAGACAGAATTGAGAAACCTTCCTAGAGTTTTGTAAGGAACAGGTAGATAAATATCTGTCACATGTTCTTGGTCCTGCCCAAGTACATGTTCAATAATCCAAAAAGGCCTTTCTAGATTTTTCTCTGTATGAATTTCTACAATTTCTATTTTAAAATTACCATCAAGTACCATCCATATGAAATTCGATTCATCTGATAGGATCAACTCATCTGTTTTATGGAAGTATGTATTTTTTCAGGCAATTTTGATTCTCTCTGATAATGCAACTTTCCCTTCACATACTAGTAATGAATTAACTGATTCCTATGTGCTGTAAGGTACCACTCTTCATATGCAAAGATGGCAGGGTTTGACCTGTGTTTTCCGGGGAGTTTTACCTCTGCCAGTTCACTGAGGTGCTGATGATGTCATTCCATACATCCTTCAGCGTCTGTAGCTCAGTTTGTATCACCTTTTGTCCTTCCTCACTGCTGCTTTTAAGAGCTTGTTCTCCTTTGCCAATGGCCATGTTCAGCTTAACTTCACCATCACCTTTGAGTAAGAGGATCTCCTGTGAGGCAAAATAAGTCAAAATACCAAATTTAAGTGAGAAGTGAAAGCTGTTATTTTTGCAAAGGTGGACACCATCTTCTTTGAGCTTATTTATCCTTGACAGGCATACCCAACATGAATTCCTAGACACCTTTTCCTTTAAGTGCCTGTTCCTTGCTATGTGGAAGTGATCCAGCAGTTTTTCCTCACAGGTACACAGGCGTTTCACTGCATTGGACATCCTAAGAGATTGCTCGCATTGCAGTCTTTAATGAGTAGGCTAGGCACTGCACAGAAAAACAGCACAACATAGCTAGAAGAAGTCTCAAGAAAGCCCATGGAGGGATCTCCTACACTGATGACCTTCCTATTAGGATGTTTATCTAACCTGTTCTTGAAGACCACCTGTGACGGATATGTTACAGTCTCGCTGTGTCAATTATTCCAAGGCTTCCTCTCCATAAGGAAGCTTTTTTGGATCTGAATACACATTTTCATAGTTCATTATTCTCTATTAATGCAGTACCTGGCATCTGTCTATATTAAACTCATCCTGTTTTTCATCCTGCACGTCCCAATTTGTCAAGATCACCTTAAATTCTGATCCTCTCCTTCATAACCATAGTAAGAATAAAATACCAAACCATTCCTTTTCCACTAATGTGACCCACACCCAATATTAATCTTGATGATTAATCTCTTGTATCCTTCTTTACCTGAATTTGTGTCAGCCGTCTCTCTAGTGTGTCTTTGCTACCAAGAGTGCTCTCTGATGATGCCAGTTTATCTTGAATTTCTTTTAGCCATAACCACATACTCTGCAATGCCTCCTCTAGAGTGAGATGCTCTTGGAGTGCAAGCTGACACATTTGTAGCTTCTTCTTGACAGTTTTGACCATGTTTTGATAATTGGTGAGATGCTGAGAAGCTAGGCGCACTTCCCTCCCTTCACCATGGCCTTCTTCATTTAAAGTCTGTGCCATTTGGGACAGCTTATCAAAAGATTCCCTGAAAGAAAATAATGAAACTCAAAATCAGCTTCAGAAAGCGTATGATATTGCTATAGCAACTACCAGAAATTATGAATGTTGCTCACACAATCACCTATGAGTTCATAGTTACCAGAAAAATCGGCTAGGAGAAACTGAAAGGAAATAAAAGCAGTGTGTGTTGATTAATATCTTTACCTATGTACAGTGCCATTTCTTGCAGATTTTGGCACTCAAAATGTTCACACTGAAATCTTTGTGTTGCACATTTAAATTACAAACTAACTTAATTTTCTTTTCAGCTGTCAGACTTTCCAATTCTATATGAACTACTACCTTTTTGTACCTGCTAAAGCTTCTGAGAACTCCATAGTCTTTGTCAGGTAGGAAGGCATAATGGAAAGGTCAGGCCATTTGTCCAGGATTAGACACGGACTCTAGGGTTTAGTACAGGGATCGGTAAAAGGAATTAAAAAACAAGGGTTTATAAGACTCAATTAATTTCAATCTACTGGATCAGCCTTCCCGATTCCCTGTGATTACAGGGAATTTCCATCAGACCAAAATATCTTGCATCAGTCTCCAGGGGATAGGTAGTGACTGGGTGTTTCCTTTTAACATGCTGTGTGGCTTGAACAACTGACTACTATTTATGTTCTGTCTTCACCAATCTAATAATAAAAAAAAGAATTTGAAAACCACTGTGCGCTAAAAAAGGCAATTACTTCATCATCTGTTGGCTAAGTCTGAGTTCTGGGAAGATTTCACAGCCAATGTGGATGTTATTTGAGCTCTTTTATAAAGTTAGCTATATGTGAAAGGGGTTTGCGCTAACCTGGTTGAATCTGAGTGTTGCAGGACAGAAAAAAACCCCTAAAACAGATATAATGATAAGTGCCATTTTTACTACTGGTTTTACAATCAATATTTTTAAGATTTTTTTTTTTAAATTATGTTTTTCAGTTTCCATTTATCCATGCATTAAGGTAAGCTTTTCTTAATAAGTATCATCATTGAATTTTGGATTTGGCTACAAATTCCAGTTTCCTTAAAGCTGGAAGTATCTGGATTCAGCCTCTTTTCATGGAGCATGTTGCTACACCTTTATCTTTCACAAACACGCTTTAACCCAACAGTTTAGTTTCACTGTTGCTTTAACAGGGGAAAAAGTGAGAGTATTTTAGGAAATGTGTTTCATACTACCTTGAATTCAGTAACTCTTCCAGGAACTTTTCAACTTTATGCACCTCCTTTTTCTTCTCAGGAATAAGCTGTTTGTTCTCTCCTAATGCTTCTGTGCTTATTCTTTCTTCCATGTCACGTATCCACAAGCCAAGTTTCTTGTGCTGATCTTCAAAGCTATAGAACAGATAAATACTCCCTTAATTTTTTTTCTCAGGTGGAGTGAAGTTAGTAGAAGTTGACTAAGTTCTTTCAATATCCACAAGACCAGGAAAACCAAGCTAGGTATCAATTTTGTCCTTCAAGAATAAGAGTTGTACACAAAACGTAATTCCACAGTGACTACTAATCTAAAAATATTCAGCAACTCTCTAAAAATGTTCAGCAAAATCATGGGAACTACAGAGAGAACAGAAGCCTCCAAAATTTAAAGTGACAGTGCTTTTATTTATTATTAGGTTCAGTAAAGGCAAACGAAAATAAATCTTTTTCCAAATCCTTATAATGATTTAGTTAAATTTAAAAAATGGGTAAAAGTGGGCTTTTACTCAGTATTGACACTTACAACACCTTAAACGTTGTGCTTTTGATTTCTCCAACAGAACATAACTGGAATCTCAAGCACTCAGAACTCAGCAAAACAAGTTCTGGCCCTTAAGTTTTAAAACGTTTTCCTCACATGAAGGCACACCATCTCATCTTGCTGTTTTACCCATTACTGCTACACTAACTTTGCTTTCAATTAGCAGCAGTTTTGATTCTAATTAGATCTAAAAATATTCAAACTCCCAAAAGTCAAGTCTCAAGTAATAATTTAACAGAGTTTTCTTATTAGCTCCTTAGGAAATAAGTCTATGTGGAATGGGACAGGACAGACACAAGCTGTGTAAAAAGCATACTATCTTCAAAATCCAGGTTAGAACCTGAAAATTCATCACACCTTTTCCTTCCAGGCAATTGCATTTAAATTACTGAGAATCCAACTGCTGCTTTGGAATTGCATGAGCTATGCAGATCTGCATATATGATCCTGACCTGCCATTATTTAACCAAATTAATACCCTTGGATCAAGATCTCCAAGGGCTGCCATGTTTTTATCAGAGAACTTTATTCTCTCTTAAACATTTGCAAAGAAAAAAGCAAACAGGACCAGGGTAACTGGAAATAATTTCGAATTGTTCCCTGTATTTCTGTAGCCAGACAATCTATCTCATGCAGTCCACCTGTAACTGCGGATATCACTCACCTTTCCAGGTGTGAAGCACAAGCTTCCAGGGACTTCTTATCATTCAGACACTGGTTGAGGAATTCTTGGAAGTTCTGGTTAGACTTTGCTATTTGCTCTTGAATATGGCTCACAACTGGTTTGGGTAAGCAAGCAGACAAACTTTCTCCTTCTTTGCAGGCAGCATCTAACTTGTTCTGTCCCTCACTAACAGAATCCAGAACACTCTGCGTAATAAAAGAATATAATTTAAACATGCACAACTAGATTTAATAAATAAAGATAAGTAATATTTCTATTAGAAGTGGTCAGTTTTCCCCAAGAAGATGAGACATATCTAGCTATGGAAAAAAGTCTAAGCAGATAGTTCAACTGAAAAATTATTAAGTGGTGTTACAATACACAAAGCTCAATTTTCCTATTTGGTCCCCAGGTAGTCCTGTCTTTGTCTGGATAGTTTACTTATGTCCTGAAGATGTTATACATTTCAAGAATTAGGGTTCTTTGCAGTAGGTGTTTGCTATTTACATTCTGATGTATCAAAAACCTGCATAGCTTTGACATGACAGTAATAATCTGAAAGACTGAATAAGCAATAGTATAAGAAAAAATAGGAAAAGAAGAGAAAGAAGGCAAAAAAAAACCAAAAGAAAAGATTGAAAAACAGAAACAGGAATAGTTTAGTTACACATAAACCTTCCAGAAATTAAATTCTGATCTCTCAGAACATTCAACAGTTTCCACTGTATGCCCTCTACAGTACATATTGCTGTCTCAAACCAATTCTTGCATTACTGTTTTGGAAACAAAATCAATAAATACTATATTATCTACCAATTATTTTAAGATATAATTGAACAAATATAGTTAAATTGCTAATTAATATTTTTTAATTTGTTCACTATACCTGCAAGTCATGTAGCTTTGCCTCTATGGCTTTGCTGTCTCCAGACCTATCAGCTGATTCTTTTACTGCAGCCTTCACACCAGAAAACCATTCCTGGAATTCTTGCATTGAATCTTATTTAATAAAAAAGTATAGAGAACAGAATATTTTTTAAGAAGCAGCATTATCCACAACACTATACAGCTGTCTTCTACAGTTCTTTTATTCTTCAGGAACAGCATGTGAAAGTTAAAAGGATGAGTCTCACTGGCTTTAATGACCTTGGCGAATGGGATTCATTTCACAAAAAGTTAGATGTTTCCACTGTAAACACCCAAATTTGAACAGTTACAGTAGCTTCTCTTTATAGTTAATGGGAAAAGATAAGCATTCTCAGTCTACTATATATGCCCCAATTTAATGTATAGATAGTATCTGGGTTACTACCTTAATATATAAGATTCAAAATTGCCTACTTCTCTCCATGGACTATCCAGGGATCCCAAGAAATACTCCAGCTGGGGACATTTAAACTATAAGCATTTCCATTTGGTTACATAAATCTCTTTATGTGAAATACACAGTGTATCTGTGCAATAGAGGTACATAATAAGAGTGAAGAGAGGTGGAACTAAGCTTGCCTTTCATGCATATTACATGGTTAAAGTTGAATTCTGGTTTTGTAAAATACTTTGTTTCATAGCAGTTACCAAATAAATATTTGGTAACAGGACTTTTGAAAGGCTCCATACAAAAATAAAGTCGCAATTGCAGTGACATCACTGGAAACTCTGACAGATTCCAGAATGATTCATGGCTGTGGGCTAACGGTTCATATTAGTAAGACTGAAGACTCACCGAGGAAATGTTTTTCCAAGGACTCTTGCATGCTGGCCTGTGTTCTGCAACAGAGCAGATTTACGGCTTCATATTTCGTTATTAATGAAGTTACAGTGCCACCAAGAGCTTCCAGCTCTACAGAATGGTATTTGCGACACAGACTGTTGAGGTTCTCACGGGTCGAGTCAATGCGGCTTTGCTGAAGCTGAAGGTTTTTTTGTGTTTCCTGAAAATGAAGTTAAAACACAAATATGATGTTTGTGAAGAAAGAGAAGAGCCATCTCTTTTTCTCAAGCATTCCTCCTCTTCCCATATGGTCTTCCCTCCTATGGTCTATTGCAAGGCCTAGACACAATGAAGGGAAGAACTACTGGTGCACATTTCCTAGATTTTTCAAGTGAGATGAATTCTTGAAACTGAAGAGCCATCACAGAAATGAGAGAAGTCCTATTTCTCATGCTTTACTACTCTATTAATAAACAAATTTCAAGGCATATTGAAGAGCAATAGTTATTTTAAGCTAAGTCTGAATGTAGATATGAGATGCAATAGGACACTGGCATTTGGTGGGATTTCAGAGTGAAAGGGAGTTTTCATCTGACTGGAGAGGAACGTTTGTTTGAAAACTAAATTGGCAGTAGATGGTCATTAACATGTGCTCACACTTAAAAAACATCCATGTATTTTGTCATGTTATGATGAGCATAATTGTATGCAGTCAAGAGAGCTCTAGGATGTAGATAAGAAAAGTGCTAAAGACTAAGGAAGACTTCAGAGCTAAAAGTTTGTGTTAAAATTGAGCTCAGCCTGGGGTCTTTTTAGTATGATAAATTACACATTCATGACCTGTATTGCAAAGGAGTAAGTGGACTTGTAAACATGCTGAAGTAATGACTGAAGAGTTCAATGTAATAAAACCAGTTCTTGTCACAACAAAGACTATAATATTCATTATAATGTTTGAAAAGTTTTGTATCAAATCAGAAAAAAATCAATTAACAAATTAACAAATATATCAGAACTTTAGTTCGTTGGTAGAACTTATTCAAGAGTATCACTGCACTATCTGCTAAGATTTTAGCAGCTGTGCAGGATGTATATTATTAAATGAAAATTAAGTATAATGTTTAGCAAAACTCTGCTAAAAAACAAAGATCGCTGCATAAGAAAAAGCATATTCATTTTCTTCAGCACCAACCTTCACTTTATTTAGAGCTTCAGGATCCAGGTTACGTGCACAGCATAACAGTGTCTCTTCCACTTCTGTTAACCATTCTGTCATCTGATCAATAAACTTCTGTAACTGCATCTTCTGAGTACTAAAATCTTTCAGATTCTCTTTTGCTGTCTCTGACATTTCTTTGGCATGTTCCAGCTTCTGCCTCAAATCTGATTCTATAAACTAAAAGCAAAATGTTAGGTATTTAAAGCATTTATTATGGCGAATGTTTATTGAAAAAATAGAATATAGGAAAGTGACACACAACAATCATTTTGCTCTCCTTACATCTATAATTAAAGATACTTAGATAAATAAAACATCAACCATTCAGGATTAAGTTTTAGATATATCATAATCCAAAGAAAGGATACTAATTCACAAAATCCAGACTTCAAACTGTTGAAGTTATTATCCACTTCTGAAAAATTAAGCAGTTGCCATATAATTTGCCATATATACAGAACAAGGTCTAAACGCAAATAGCTCCATAAAAAGCATACATTTTTTCAGAAAGAAATGTTAACTAAAGAAACATGAAGAAAGAATAGTTATGATATACATAAATAATGTATTAGCATTTGTCACCTTAAAAGAAAAGGTCAGTACAGGAGAAAGAAATTTCAGGAGGAATTTCTTAGTTATTTGAGCACAGTCTGTGATTACCAGTATCTTTATTTTACCTGGAGATCTGCAGGAGGCTCTTGACTATGGATCAGTTCTTTGAGATCTGAAATTTTGGAACTAAGCTGCTCCAACTTCAGCTCTTTATCCTTGATTTCAGACTGTAAAAGAGATGTGGTCAAAGTTGCATGCCAAACTACAAGAAGGTTTTAGACTTTCAGAAGGATGCTCCATCAATTGCAAAAATGACAGAAAATGTAAAAAAAGTTTAGCAACACTGTTTTTGCACAGGTTTTCTTCCCTAAAAATCTACCATCTCTTTTCCTTTATTAGCCATAGTTCAGGGATTTTTCTTCCCTCTATTAAAATAACTACACACATTTTTAACATTCAAAGTGAACTAACAGCTTCTATTCCTTAAAACCAAATGAATAAAGATGGGAATGTAATTGTTTATTTGACTGGAAAAATCTGCTGTGGTTGTTAGGTTCCACTTAATGGTATGCAGCATATAATACTTCTGCTCTCTGGTTTTTATTACAAGGAAGTGAGCTCTCAGAAAAAAAATTAAACACAAAAATAAATTTTAACCTCAAAAGGGAACTAGAAAGTTCTGCTATATATGCACTGACATTTCTGGACCTTGTAGTTATTATAGTCATATAGATCACAGTTATAAAGAAATATTCAATTTATTATTAAATTATTTTTAATAATTATTTTAGTAAGTTTTAATAATTTTTTTAATAACTTAAAAAAACCTAATAGCAAAGTGAGAGAGAAAATAATCATTTATATAATTGTAGTTCTTCAGTATTAGGCAAGTAATTGGTGTTTTTATCCTATTACCCAAACTTGTTTTTCTAAAAAATTCAGACAGATCACTCCAATTAAAAGATTGGACAGTAGATATCAGAAAGTACTGATTTTTTGCTTAACTTCAGCTGAAGTTGTCTAAAATTTTCATTAGTTTCTCATGGAACAATTCAGTCCAATGCCATGCTTTTTGAAATTTTTGTGCTAATTTTTGTGCTTGTAAGAACATGTTATCACATACTGCTAGAGCCAAAATAACTGTGGAGCTTAGATTTAGCAAGAAATGTGCTGTTCTTGTTTCTATCAGAAGTAAATGGTTTCAAAAAAGGACTGGAATACTGTCAGCTAGCCATTGGATTAGTGGTAACACTGCTTGAACAGGGGATATGGTGGTCTACAACAACACAGCCTTATCTATGTGCCTGATACCACTTGAGATTTTTGTCTAGAACATTTTTATCACTGATTTATGGGTAAGCACCTGGAAGTCTTTCAGGAGGACCTCCAATCTCTGACTGTTACTTAGCTTGCTGATGACTTCATTCAGCTGAGAAATGGATTTATTGCACCATACATCCATTTCATCTCCAGTTTTGAGGATGTCATCCCACAGAGACACGCTTACACTCAGACGGTCAATGTTGTCTTCAATTCTTTCAGACACCTTTCAGGAGAGATGCATCAATACCATTCATAAATTAACTTTAGATTTCTTTATTTTGCGGCCAGTTGTAAGACAAATGCATAAAAAATGATTAGTATGTCTAGGCAAAATAATTTTCATAGACTTAGGTCTAAGTTTTGAATTCTAATTTCAATTTAGTTACCCAGATCATAAAATGAACAAAAATCATATGTGAATGTTTCTAAAAACTTGTGTATTTTTTACTGGGAAAGGGTTTTATGTTCAAATAAACTTCATCTTTAAAAACAACTAGATTTATCTTTCTTATGTAAGGTAGGAATTTGTTAATAAAACTGTATAAATATGAAAATATAAAATATTAGCTTTTGTATTACGTTTCTCTGCTATAATGTCTTTCTCAACATATATCTTTTACAGTGTATCTTAATACAATTTACTGCCTAATTTTAGTCCAATTTACTTTAGTAAAGTAATACTTTGTAAATACTTTAGTAAAGTAAAGTAATATTTGGTGAGAATCCAATCCAAATTTATACACAGAAGGGTGCACTGAGCAAATTTATACTAGTAATGTTCATACATTATTATAAGACTTTGTTTTAAATCTATCAAATTGATGTCACAACTTGCATGTACAATGGATGCCAAATCCCTATGATTAACCTTTTGAGATATATACTTCAAAGTAAACTGTAGTAAACAACTGTACTCTAAGATCCTAAGAAAATACTAATACTGTAACCTTAGCCCAACTTAAAAACTGTATTCATTGTATAAATACCAGACTCTTACATCTAGCCATTTGTCCACCATACAGTTCATGTCTGTTTTTACCGCAGTGGAGTCGCAGCTATGTACTCTTTTCAATTCTGCTAACAAATGTTTTCCTTTATTGGTGAAAGTATCCAGCTCTTTTTGTTTATCACTCAGATCATTCTTGGCAGCTTCATGCTGTGAACATAAATATTTGCTTGTTTAATTAAGCCTTGAAGAAAGAAAGAAAAATCCAGTTCTCCAGGCACCCATTCCTAGCCCTGTGGTACATGTTATGCATTTGATAATTCTCATTCAGCATACCCTCTCATGCCACAAAAAGCAGAGCAATTGACATGATTTTCTCATGAGCATAATCAAATAGTATGATTTTTATAAATAAATAAAGCAAGCGGGAATAATTAATTCTGAATTTTTGCCACTTGGTAACCAGTTATATTTAGGACATACGACATGTTTTTAAAAAGTATGATGATTATTTCTATTCTTCAGACTCTATGTGTCTAAAATTGAATAATAAGAACCCATCATTGACTACCTAGTATCTAAAGTCAGTTCTGGAATTACGGCAGGATAAACAGAGGGTGTTGCAAACAAAATTTAAAATTGTAAAATCTGTCACTCCTAGATAGTCTGGAAAATTTTTTTTTCTTTTTTTTTTCAAAACAAAAATCTTTCTGAACAGATGTGTTCAGAAAGAAATTGGGCAGTATCTTCAGAGAAAGGTAGGGAAATCTTTAAAACACTGTCACTGAAGATGTAACAACACACTGAGAAAGGATCACAGTAAGCACCTCATAATTTTTTCTTTAAGAAGTATTAGTGATCAGCATTAGAGATAAACTACTAATCTGGATGCAGTAAGGCCATGTGGCCATGCTTGCTCTGTTATGGTAGAAGCTGTGCAACTTATTTATTCTGCTCCAACTTCTTTGAGCCTAGATGTGACGAGTATTGCAGCAGAGAGTTCTCCACTCTCCAAGGCTCACATTAAGGAGAGGAATCATATGGAAGTTACATGCATTTCTTTGTTAGATTGTTGTGCTCTGATCTGGCTTTCAGTTCGAGTTAAAATATCTGTTAAAAAAATACCATAAATAAACACAGTTTAGAATGAGGTTTATACAGATCTCACTGAAGAATTTTTAATGAAGAGCTTAGTAGGCTTCCAAATGAAATTACCCTCTGAATGAACAGAAAGAATATAACTCAGAACTGATTTTCCTGACAGGCTGATGGATAGCAGAATTTAGAATGTTAGAAATACCAATGAAATTAACGGAGTGCAAAGATTCAAATTCCTTATCTCAATGGCTCAATGGTCAGTATCAACACTGTACCTCATGGCATAAGTCATCTTAGAGAAAGAAACAGACATAATGCTTCTTTTATTGACTTTATTCTATTAAAAAAATTACAGGATATGAAAAAAACATTAAAGTATGTTGACTGGAAATATCCCCTTATACTATGATAGGAATATATTCTCAGTATATTTTATATAAAGAGCAGATAACTTATGCTTTCCACATAAATTAACATTTTGCATTTCTAGGTGTTAAAACCATAAATAGCAACCATCAAAAACACATTAATGGATCTCGCCAAATGCTTAAAAAGGACTGTATTTTTTCCTCATCAGAATCTGTACTGTTTAAACCCTGAATGTCAGTATGACAAGATTTGACAGTAGATTCAAGGAACTTAAAACACAGCTAAAGGGCAACTTTGAACATCAAAAACCCCATCTAAATCCTTTAAATACCTCAAATGAAGATACATGTAATTACCTTTGATAAAGTTCGCTTGATGTCTTCACGATCCTTCCAAATGGATTTGATCATAGAAGCACTGTCCGCACTGTCTATGACTTTCATTACTGTTGACTTCAAGCTCTGATATTCCTTCATCAGATCAATAAGAATGTAGGACTGCTCCTTTCTGTAATGTGAAAAGGCTGTGTTAGAATCATTTACTGTCATGTTTCTGAAGGAAAGAGAATATAATGTAGAGATTCAGCATGGGAAAATGAGATGCAGTGCTAAATATGTTTTGAGCAGCTAAGAAAATATTAATATTTAGGTTTTACAAATCACTGTGGGTCCATACAACACAAAACACTTCACTGAAGAGCCAGTACATAGATAGCCATCACATAGATATCAGATATCAAAGCAACAGACTCGAGCAAAAGAGAGACTGATACTGGAGTTCAAGCTTCTCACTTCCTAAATTTAGCATCTTACTGACTGGAAAACACATTGTAATGATGCTGGTACTCACAGCTCATTTTTTCAACTTGTTCCTTTAACACATATTTTTGGTCTTTTTTTGTTTGTTTGTTTGTATGTGTAAATAGAAGCCCAAGTAAACAGGCAAAATTTATATACATTGAGGATTATGTAGTGCTGAATGAATCTAGCACTCAATGTTACCATACAAATTTTAAAAAGAACATTTGAAATTTTCTTTAAAGATGACAAAGAGAGAGCTAAGACAAAAAAAAAGGGTAAGATAAAGCTTTCTTTAGTTTCTTTAGTTCTTTATCAACTTTGATTGATATACAAAATTATCATATCACTGATTATACATTGATGATTGTTATAAGCATGGTCGCTTGGGCAGACAGGCAGACTGAAACCTAAGAATGATTTAGGACCACTGAATATAGGGTTGTCAGAAACACGTATTCAACAGAGAAGGAAAATACATGCTAGGGGAGTATGTATATCAATGGATACATACTTTATCTTTTAGGAGAGTAAATAATAACACGCAACTAAAATCCCAGTTTATCTCTAAGCACTGTCCTGAGGACCTGTCTGTGGCTTTATTAATAGTATAATCACAAGTATCCTGGTTTATACTGTGTTTTATCTTCTACTCAGTAATTAACATAGAAGCCCTGGGTTTTATTGGCATTAATATGACAAGAACATATTAAATGAAAGTAAATGGGTCTCTTTCCCCCACTAACAGAACTTTCTTGTTTGCCACCTTAAGTCTAAGATCTACTTACTTTTCATGTATAACTTTCTTGGTATCCTCCCACAGAGATTCTAAGTGATTTTTCTCTTTGTCAATCTCAGAAGCAAGTGTAATATCTTTTTGGGCTATTTGTTTTGCTTTGTCCATGAGCCACTGGAGTTCATGCTGGTGAGAATTCAATTCTTCATCTAACTGGTTAAAGATCCTTAATCTAAAAGTTAAAAGGCAGGTTTAAAATTTACTTAACTCTAATTTTTGCAAGAGAAAGGGGGACAAAATAAGAATGAAGCACTTGCTGTTAGAGTTACTATGCACCAAGCTCCCTCTTTTTAATATTTCCTACAATATCTTCAGAAAACAAAGAACAAAGTGTTATCTGGATTTCTGCTACAACTGGACTCAGAATGTAATTTTTCTGACACATATACAGCTCTGCAATTATATCAATATACATATACCTTCACCTCACACAGTGACTTGGAAATATTCCTTCAGCACATGTACAGTCCATAATTCTGTAGAAGTATAAAAAGTTATATTATATGGGGTTTCTAATAGCTATTAGAAATGTCCAAATGTTTCATTTGGACAAAATAAATTTATGAGACAAAGATTTTCTCAACTCTTCTTTCAAAATAAAAGATTAGTGGCACTTGCTGAGTGTTCTGCTCATGATCTCCCTCCATCCAAACAGCTCACTTACTTACAAAATTGTATTCAATAGATGTATGAACTCATGAATGCCTAGCAATTTTCCCAGGCAGAAATCTCACACATGCCTCCAATGCATCATAAAAAATCTAGAGACTGAAAGCAGATGAAGAAGCACCAATCTCAAGCATGAATACTGCTTTTACCTTTGCTGGAGGGCTTGTAGTGTTGCCTCCTTCAGGCCCTCCTTGTCAGCCTTTTCCTCAATATCGTCAACACTCTTCAGGAGCTTTTCTTTATGTTCCATGAAAGATCTTTGCAAAGCTCCAAGGGCTTCTGCCTCACTCTGTTTGGTTCCCAGCAGGTTTTGAACTGCCTCTAGTTCCAAGTACAGATTATCCACCACAGCCCTGCAGGAAGTCCTCTGCTCAGAAATGCTGTGTTTTAGATGATACTGGGCCTTAGTAAGGGAGCCATCCAAGCTGATGGCAACAGACTCCAGCTTCTTAAGATTTTGAATTACATCATTGAGTTCCTTCTCCAGTAATTCAGATTTAGCTTTATCCATATTGCCTGTTTTCTCCACTGTCTGCCTCAGCTGGTGGAGCACTCTTGATGCAGCACTATGGAGTTCCAGGAATACCTGCAGCTGATCCAGAGCCTCTTGTCTTTGGCTAGTTATTTGACTTGCCTCCTGAAAGATCTGAAAGCAATCTTCAGTCTTTCCCTGCAATGTCTGCTGGTCCTCTGGGCAGCTGAAAGAACACAATTTATCTACCTGTTCCTTCAGACTCTGCAACTGCTGTTTCTTACTTTCGACTTCCATTGAGTGGTTCTATAGGAAAATACAAAAATAGGGCTGGGTTTCTTCTTCCAATCAAAAGCTCAGAAAACATTTTTATACTAAACTTACAAGTTTAGTACGAAAACTAAACCAAGTACTACTGAGGGTTTTTCAGTAAGAACAGCTCAGTTTTACAGTTTTGCTTTAAACTGGTCAAATAACAGAAATACGTGACTGTAACACCATGTCTGTTTTCAAACAAATATATGACCTCATGCTAGTTTTAGATGAATATTTAGCTGAACACACTGTACAATTTCTCTGTCTTTAATATTTACATCCAAAAATTTACCTTATTGTGAGATGCAGCTAGTTGTTGATCTGCTGTGCTTATCTCTGAAGTGGCTTGTAGTTCAGCAAGAAACTGCTTAATCCAGTCTGAAAACCTGAGCAGGAGCTCATCAAACTGCCCATGCTCAGCAACAAGAGATTGAAGGAAGTTGATCCTATAGGATATCAGATGTAAATATGAAAGCACTTGATGTAAATTAATCACTTCTCATAATCAGAACCACAGCTGACTGGACACCATTAAGATCAATGCCAGGTGGAAGGAATGAAGTAAATGTTCATTTATGCTACAAACGTGACGATTGCCCTGTTGATTTCTTAACTGGGGAATAACAAAACATTTAAAAGCACCCGTTTGGCTCTTTCCTGTTTCCACTGTTTTATTCCTGTCAACTGTTAGAAATGCCCCAAACAACCAAGCTATGTTCTTCAGCCTTTCCTCGTGGCGGGGTAGTCTCAGCAAAAAGAATTATATTGACAGACTCTAAACTTCAGTCTTCAGACAGCAATTCTGTTTGCCCTATCATCTGCAACACTGCATGTAACATAAGAGTCTCATTAATTTAGGCAGGGGGTGAGTAACTGCATGTTCAATTTTCATTGAAGAAAGTGAGGGTCAAGTCTGCTCAAAGGAACACAGTTCAAAGGAGTGTGTCCAGAGGAGTACTCGGCACCTAACAGAATTAAGCTTCTAAACCTTGACCTTAGAAAAAGCCTTGTCGTTTACCTTCCCATTTCCCTTAGAAATTTCTCTACATGATTTTCAACAGGAAATGCTATGTAGAAGATCATTATATTGTAAAACTATCATATTGATAAAGCACCTCAAAGGTTATGACATTGACCAGGGTCTATTACTTAAGTTCCTTTACAAACAGTAAAATATGTATGTTCATCACAAAGCAATTGAATCTAAATATATGATAACATATAGTTTCAAAAAAGCAGGCAGCCTTCCTGAGCCTAACATGACCCAGCAGTCTAACAATTGAGTATTTATGGCAACTGAAAACTTCAAAGTGGGTTTAAAAAGATAATATTGTGGCTTTACACAAGATAAAGCATGTAACAGGGAAAAAAAAAAAAGAAGAAAAAACCAAGATATTGCAGATTTTGGAAGTAACTTAGGAAATTGTGAGAAAACACTTCATTCCCTGCCCCACACTCCTTCAAACAGAAATCTTCTACCACAAAAAATAGTGAGAGATTATGTCAAAAAGACAGCATGATAAATCTGTGGGATTTTCTACATGCCGCTCCTGGGAGCTCAGGGTTCAATATGAATTTTAAACCTTGGTTTTCTTAATGTAATTCTGTAAAAACTATATTTCAGTATTGAAAATCCTCATCTGAATATTGGTTACTCTCATTTAACATGTAAAAAACATACTGAAGCACAAACCTTTTATCAACAGTTTGTGGTAAAGCTTTCCACCTCTTATCTAGCTCTTCAAATTTTTCTTTTATTGTTTTCACACAATGTCTGGAAGCTGTTGGGAATAGCGACTCATTTAACTGCAGTAGGTTTGCATAAACTGAAGCATGGGACTCAATATCTGCCCGCAAATCCTGGGAAAACAGTGAAAAGTACAGCCTTTAGATTAAATATGGCATAATATTATGCAAAATAACAAAAAATACAAAAAATCAAGCAGAGATTTACAGTACACCACTTTGGGACAAGTGAATTCTCTGGAGGAATTGAAGTTTATTAGTACAAGCAGATATTAGGACTCAACACTGCTCAAACAGCTAAATCTACAACTGTAATTCAGTAAGGATTCATCAAAGGTGGTTTTTTTTCTCCTTTAGGATCAAGTGCAACCTTTCCACACAGTTCTACTGTATGACGGAAGTGGCTAAAATAAAGACTAAATTTTGCAAAATGTTTCATGTGCAGTAATAGGATTGTAAGGAAATGTCATAAATTGGCCTAATCAACGAAGAAAACCAAAACCCAAAGTAATTTTCCTTCTCTTCAGTAATATTTAAAACTGAAATTATGGACTTACTGGCTTTATGGAGGGTGCAAAACATGTAAAATTTGGCTAACTGATTTATATTAATCTAAAAACAAATGGCAAAAATTCCAAGGGAAGGCATACTCTAGAATAGGATGACAGTCTTGTGGAGTTTCATTGTGAATTCAAAACCTTTGAGCATTTTGTCACCTGAGCAACTTTCTCCACGTGCAATAAAAAGAAAGTAGCCTTGTCTAACAAAGGAATTTCTCCAGAGAAAGGATCTCTGGCAAGCAGACCAATGTCCTTCCTTGACAGATAATAGGATATACCAGGTGTCATGGTTTAAGCCCAGCCGGTAACTCGGAATCATGCAGCCACTGGCTCACTCCCCCTCTTTTTCCTCCCACTGCTCCCAGAGGGATGGGGAGGAGAATCGAAGGAATGTAACTCCCCATGGATTGAGATAACAGCACTCCAGTAACTAAGGTATAATACAAACCATTACTGCTACCATCAATAATAACAATGATAAGAGGAATAACAAGGGGAGAGGACACAACCGCTCACCACCTACCAACTGATACCCAGCCCAACCCGAGCAGCGATCTGGGCCTTCTGGGTAACTCCCCCCAGTTTATATACTGGGCAGGACGTGCTGTGGTATGGAAACTGGTCATGACGTGCTGTGGTATGGAAGCCCCCTTTGGCCAGTTTGGGTCAGGTGGCCTGTCTCTGCTTCCTCCTGGCTTCCCCTCCTCTCTGGCAGAGCATGAGACTGAGAAAGTCCTTGGTCAGAGTAAACATTACTGAGCAACAACTAAAAACATCGGTGTTATCAGTGTTGTTCCAGACTGAAAGTCAAAAACACAGCACTGCACCAGCTACTAAGAAGGAGAAAAAATGACTGCTGTAGCTGAACCCAGGACACCAGGGCACTATTTTTCTTGAGCTGGCATATTATATTTGCAAATAACATTTTTCCTGTAATTTTCTTGTCTTTGATAGATAGCAACAGTGACAATGAAACACTTCCCTATGATATTTCCAAAGCCCAGAATCAAGTGACTTGTCAGACTACAGTTGAGCAACTCTGTCCTTTAGAAAACACAGAAATAAAACAGGAAAATGTAGGGGGACAATCCCTCAGTTGAAACGTACCTGCAGTGACTGCAGTTCACTTTCCAGTTTAACTCTGTCAGCAGAAACGTACCACTCTGAAGGCCTGGCTGTAGCTTCACACCCCTCCAACCAAGTAAGGAAGGCAGACAGCTCCTTCTCTTGCCTAACAAAATCACAATGTGGAGTTACCAACTCAAGTCACCCATCAGTCTTACACACTAACCACAAGAAGGTCTCTGTGTCCATCATAACAGACATGAGAGTCTACTCACTTCTGCCACTGAGCGAGAAGAGTCTCTAATAAGATCTGTTTCTCTTTAACATTTTCCAGCACCTTTTCGTATTTCTGTTGTAATACCGTAACCTCCTGAGCAGCTTTTTCTTTGTTGGCCACCTTTCGGGCACAGACTGAGAGAGAGGCCAGACTGTTGCTCAGTTTTTCCACAGTATGGCAAAGGTCCTAATGAACATGTAAAAGAAACAGAAGTCAGATACATAAACAACAGACCCATGGTAACAATGGTGAAAAAATTCTGTACTTCTAGTCAAAGTCTGAAGCGATGCTACATCCACCAGATCATGAAGTCACTGTATAGCTTACATTTCACTCAGATCTATCCTAGATACACGCCCGAAGCATGTCAATGAAGTAGCTTGTAGTAGGGCAAGAATTTCCTAAGAATAGTGTTAAAGATAAAAGTCAGCAACAAAAGGGTCAGATCTTCTGAATGGACATGCGACATGATTATTTAGGACAAAGCTCTAAATTCCATAGCATTTGTCTAAGATTTGCTTTAATTTATACATGTACAGAAAGTACAAAAGCTCAGTCCAATGTGTGAGGACTGCCAGACATGCAGCCCATGTCACGACATATGAGAAGCAGGGAACAATTATTGTGAAGTTTTGTCAGCATTAGCTAAAGGTCTTTTTCACAGAAATGGCACCTGAAGTTGACTAGACTTTACAGTGTTGCCATTTCCAGAGAGATGGGAAACTTGTTCATATGAAAATGATTGAAATGTAGTACTATGAGTTAGAAAAAACACAAAATGAAATTTTGATTTTACATTTAAGACCACTAAAGTTCCCACTCACAAGTGTGTAATAATAACAACAGTAGTAATGGTTGTAATTACAGCCATGAAAGGAACCATATATAGGAGGAAAGGTGAATTATACAGCAACAAGCTGCTGATGTTTAAACTAAATAATAAACAGCAATTTAATCGTGATCCCATAGGAAGGACAAGAGTTTACATTTCATACTCAGCATATTCAAAATGTTTAAAAAGCAGTAACAATGATTACATTTGCTGTCTGAATAAATTTTCCATATGGAAAATATTTTTCCTCACGAAGTATAAAGCTTTTTTGAAGAAGACAGGCCAGTTCTTCCTTGAATACAGCTTTTACAAGTAGTTACCACTAAGTCAGAAGAAGTTACATGCATTTTACTGCAAGAACATATGAATAAAAGTTTTTATTATATTTTCTTGGGAAGAAAGTTAATGTTTCTTGTGGTAGAATACATTAGAAACTTATAGGCACAGATAGAAATGATACACCGAATTCCATGATTTGGGATGCATTTTTTGTAGTCCCAACACCCTGGATTTCACAGGTAAAAGTTTGTCAGTTGAAATTCTGTCCAGTCAATGCATTGCCCAAGAGAAATAACTTCCAAGGAGTTGTTTGGATCACAGATTTCTGTAAACCAAGATCCAAGTTTCATTAAAATCTTTGAGGAAAAATTGTCTAATGGATGTTTTTTGATGAAAAATCTCTTATTTTTCATAATGTTTTAGATGTATAAAATCAAAACCAAAAAACTGGGGGATTAATTCATGCTTTTAGGCTTTCCTTTCTCTAGAGTGGGGAAAAAACCCCTCCAAGCCTGTTTGAAATGGTGTAAAGAAATAGCTGAGGAAGCCTGCTTTACACCTTCCCTGGGGCTGTCCAATGTGACAGGCACCTCCTCCTGACTCAACCCTGGCTGATGTGGTATCAGGCAGCCCTTGGTCTGGATGTTACTGGCATTTCTGGGAAGAGATTAATGTGGCACTGTTTCCCTGGACTTGTGTCAGGAATCTCTGGCCATATGCTCACCGTGTAATCCTGAAGGGCTGCGTATGTTGCTGATGATGAAGAGCATGATGTAAGAGGCTCAGCTAGCTTAGCTTCAAATTCAGACACTGTCTCCTGCACCTATGAAGAAAAGGTAAACCAGAGAGTCTAAAACCAGCAGGAAATACATAATTGATGTTTTAAACATAATATTTTAAATACTTAGCCCTAAGAGAATATTATATCCTAAGACTTTGCAGTGCTGAGTGCCTTTGAAGTTAAAAGCTGTTAACTGTGCACAGTTCCTTGGGACTGGGGCAATAATAATATTTAAATTATTTTCCTTATGACCTACTAACAATCTAGGTTTGAAGTTAAATTGTTTAGATGTGGTTTATTACTGCAATATCCAAGAGAATCACTTAGGCTTTCTAAAAGAAAGCATAATGTTTTGAGTGTGTATATTTTAGTGTCTTCCTGAACCTGCCTTTTAATTCATTCAAAGCACAAATTTACAGAGAGGTCTTGCAATTACTTTACAAACTTACTCATGTATTCTAGCCCATCCTATAATATTATATATTCAATTTTGGAAAAATAAAGAACTAATGTATAAATTGCTGCAAACAATCTATTAGATTTTGCATTGTCTACCTGTTTAAGACTTCCTTCATATTTCTGCTGTGCTGATGCATTCCCTGTGATTGTTCCTTCCAGTCTCTGTGCATGATCTCTTAATTCTTCCCAATACCTTTTCACTTGAGTCAGTTTGGCTTTAATATGTGCACATTCTCCAGAGGTAACAAACTGGGAAAAAGACTTGGCTTCCTCTTCTAGCTTTGAGATTCCAGTTATTTTACCATCTATTTCTTTATTAATAACCTAAAATGTAAAGTAATAGTAAACAAAGAAGCATAATAGGTTTTTTAATTATCAGAATAATATTTTCTGCTTCCTTCTTTTACCTAAGCTAATAATATTCTTCATTAAAAAGTAAATTGGAGGATAGTTCATTGACCACTTGAAATAAGTGGTTACAAGAGTAACTAATTCATATGACCAGTAAATTTTTTTTTCTTCCTGAAATTTGCACTTGAAAAGGTTTAGAAAACAGCTTGCCCTAAAAGCAGTACCTATAAAGAGCAGTTAGAATTGGCCGAGGTGAGTATTTTCACAAGCAGACAAGATGGTTCATATTTTCACAGCAAATTAATACATAATTTTCTTAAAGATTCAAAATAAATACAAGATGAGAAAAAGTAAGTGTGTAACTGAAAACAATATTGTTAAGGAGCTGAACCCTAACAGCTGACTACTTGTGTTTAGTAAGTTTTCAAGACCTTGCAAAATAAAACATGTTATGATTTAAAAAACAATAAAGATTGTTTTAATTTTCTAATTTAAAATTCTACAGCTTAATAAAGAATAAAATAAGTTACATTATGAGGTAGGTTGAATGTGCCCTCAGGCAGAGGATTAAATAAAGAACCACATTACCATATATATAGGAAACCATGAAACAAGAGTGATGGTACTTTTGGTACTTTTCAGCTGCCTCCTACATCAGTTAGTAAACGCATAAAGACAAACTAGGACTGGCTTTACATTTTGTCAGCTGAACACCAGCAACTGTTTCCTATTATTTTGCACTTGTTTTTATTGCAAAATGGAGGCAAACCTGAAAGCTACAACACACAAGACAGAAACTTATACAGTTTCATATTCAGTGGCTATTTATTAAGTAAACATCAGTGAACATGGAAGTAAGATTTTTCCCGCAACAGAATTCTTTTAATTTCTCCTGATTTAGCATGTCCATGGAATTCTTCTCAGAAGCTGTGGATAATACTGGGAACTGAAAGAGCAAAGAGCACTCTTTGAAATTAATGTAGGCAATAGCGTTCTAATCTAAAAACGTTAAGATCTGTATGTAGATGAAATCAACTAAAATATTCCTGAAAATGCACTCTCAAAAGCATAGAAAATGCTTGTCTTCTGCTATAATTGTGCTAAAAATATGGTATATTGCCATTATAAAGCTCAGGAGTGGCTTACTGCAAAATTCAGTCTAGAATTAGCAGGATGACAGTACAGAAAAAATGTGGTGTTGGAAGCATTTATAGTGCCTCTTTATGCAATATATTCTGAATTAATTCAGATTAAAAAATATCTTTTTTTTGCATGAGAATACGGTGCTGAGGAAAAGTACTGTATTTGCAGCCCTGAAGCTTAAATTATCTAACAATGCAGCAGATACAAAATGAGGCAGCGCTTTTTTACTCCCACGCTATTCCGTTAAATTCACTCGGTTACATAAAAGAAGGTGGATAATTGAGGCCTTCAAACTCTCAGTGAGTCTGCCACCAATGGTAACTACTTGTGACTACTGTCATTTTGTTCCATCAGGAACTTTGGAGAAATGTGTAGGTGAAAATCTGGCTCTGCTGAAGTCACTGGGGTTTTGCAATCAATGTCACCAGCAGTAGACTATTACCACCACTACATATGATAACTACATTTAGCTGACCCCAGGTTTTTTATCTGCTCAGCCAAGTTATCAGGGATTTTTTTATGCATTTGCCTCATGTTGCAATATTTCTTACTAAGATGTTGTACCACAAATTATAAACTAAATATGCTGGTTAGCATTGTGACACAGAGTAACCAATTGGGAAACTTACAACAAAACACAACTAATTCCTCAAAATAAGGAACAAAGCAATGCTGCTGAAGAAGACCTCAAGCTATGTCCATGCACGGAGGTTAGATGACTCATTTCATGTATCACGGTTCATAAAGCCCCTTGGTTCACCTAAGTTACAACAATGTACCCTATGTCTTATCTGGAGGATTTTCTCTACTTCATGTCTGTTCACTCAGACATTTATAAACATTACCTGCTGACCATTTTCCTTCTGTTGTGATGTTTAAATGAGGAAAAATTATGGTGGAATTTTCAGAAACTTACAATGCAGTATAAAAATTGTTGCTCATCTACATATATAGCAAAGAACAGCCTTTCTGGGAAACTGGCCTGAAAGGGTTAGTTGGGCTTAAGTAGACTCCATTTAGACAGACAAGAACTGTTAGTTACACCGTACACATATTAATATAACTTGATGCACTTATTTTCTATCATCTTAAACAAACACTGGAATCCTGTCCCCTGACTACTGAAAAGCAACATAAAGTGACAATGTATGCCAGTGGGATAAGTGTGTATATGTTATTTCACAAAGAAAATGTTTTTTAGTTGCTATGGCAATAAAGCAAGAACTCAAACATTGTTTTATTCTTCAGTGACGAAACCAAGAGATCTTATTTATTTGGTGTATGCAAAGATGTGATAAGATTAAGAACAGGAAAACCTGCTGCTAAACTGTTTCTGTCATGTGAAACAAACGCCTTATGGGGTACTTTGGAAATACTTAGTGTCAAGCTGGCCCATGACTGCAAGCAGCTGCACCCCTGTGCACTTTTGGAAGAGCAAGTACGTCACAGAATAAAGAAAATGATGGTGGTCACTGCATAATGAAAAACTGTCCCCTTAGAAACATGCAGTTTCAGAGAAGGTACATTTTTATTTGTAGAAGGATATCAAGTCAGCCCTTGAAATGCAATGCTTGAAGACAATATGCACCTTTAGTTAGCAATAAAAAACTAAACCACTACGTATCTATAGGAATGTACACAGAATTTGAGACAGTGTAAATATAATAGCAATAAATGGTATGTAGTTTTGCAAGCTGCCAAGAGCAATAGTTTCTTTATTGTTTCAGCATAAAAGGTACATAAATCAAGTTATATCTTTAGCTTGCAAGATTAAAACCAGGTTCTATATCCACTAGCTGATGCATGTTTTAAAATAAAGAAGCTTTATACACCTTGTATTTATGTAGCTATTTTGTACACCAGTTGAGATTACCCAAAAAATAAGATTATAAATTAAATATTTTAATCATACACAAAAAGACTCCATATATGTAAACTAAACAGTAAAAGACAAGGCAGCCTGTAAGAATTTTCCTTCGGTTTATGCAAAATTTTACTGCTCAGCATATTCATTATCATGGTAGTTCTGACACGTAAAATGTCTGTTCTCCCCTTTGGCTTCTAGCAACATAACAGACAAATGGGCTTTTAATGCTAAACATAACAAGAACTAATCACCTTGATTTGGCTGATCTGTATGTCCAAAGGAGATGATGATGTTTCCAAAGTTTCCAGTTCTTTTTCTTGTTCAGCTATCCAGATGGACAGAGCTTCAAAATTATTGCCAAAATGATCCCACTTGTTTTTCACCATTTCCATGCTTTTAATACTAAAATTAACCAAATTAATTAGAGAGAATAAACAGTTTAATATAATGAAGCTACCCATATTCTTGCTAGAATAAAAATGTAACTTATTCAATCTACAGGAGCGTCATTTTAAAAACTCCAGGTTTTAGACGACTGAGTGGTGTGCCTCAATTCAAATTTCTCTTTTAGACTGGCATTAAAAGTCAAACAATTGTATTAGCCATAGGGGGGAGAGCAAGAGGTGAAACACAGTACAGCTTCACTCATCAGCTGCACATCAAGAATCTCATCATAGCAGGAAGAAAAGGAAAAGTTACATAAATATGATTTCTATGAAATAATATGGAATTATGATTATATGAGATGTCTAAAAATTGAAATAATTGAGTGCATAGATGTTAGTAATTTAGTCACTAGAACAGAATGAATAAAACCAGTGTATTGTGGATGTAGATAGAGTCTTGACTGCTTATTAAACTATTTTTTTTATAACAGCAATCTTCCCATCTTATAGGAAGCTGGTATTTTCTGAGGCAATATTAAATATTAAGCCAAAGAATCTACGGCAGATATTCAACTACCTCAAAGTTAATAGATTTATATTCTTTGAAACATACATTATAGGTATGTTAAACAGAGACAGATTATGATGTATTGTCATCTATCTTGGATAGCAAACAAAGCACCCTTCTTTTTGGTCACAAGTAAGTCTAACACCTTTATAAGGCCTGGCAGGATTGACTTCCAGTAAACAAGTTTCTGCTCCTTTCAAATCATTGTAAAGAAACCAGTGCTAATGCAGGCCCTACACACAGCTTACAAAACATGCATTTTCTATTTTACTGAAAATATTAAAATTTCATCAGAGAAGTCTGAATATTATGAAATTCCAAAATACATTTTCCTTTTAAATATAGCCTTAAAAACCATTCCATGTTAAAAAGTTTTTGGTTTCATTTCTTTTTTCCACCTCATTAAAGCTGGAGGAAGCTTTAAGAAAAGATGCAGTCTAAAAACGTAAAAATTGGTCTTTTTCTTTTTTCTTTTTTCTTTTTTTTTTTTCCAAAATAAAAGGAAAAAAATAGCAAAGTCAACAGCCATTTACTGGCAAGACTGTATTCATTTTCAAGTTCTTGTAGGAAAATAAAGTGCAAAAATATTTCAAGTGCAGCCCAAGAAAATACAGCTGGAAATCAGAATTGAGGGACCAAATCAGTGGCACAATGACTGAAAATCCTTTGCCTTTGTATCTGCCTTCTTTATAGTTGTAAGGAAGCTACAAACTGTAAAGAATATAGTCCCAAACACACTGCACAGCTATGCATCTACTTGGGAAACAGATGGACTAAGTTTGCTCTATAGCTAAGTATGGAGAGCTGCTCAAATTTTTCTTTCCCTTTCCTGTTCATTGGCATTGTATGTACCATATGTATTTGGAATACCTGCACTTAAAATTACTCAGCCAAGATTTTTATTGATGATGTGAGTTACAACTTAACCCTTACACACTTATTATATATTCTGTAGATTCACTATAGAGAGTTATATATATTTGCATGTTTTGCAGAAGGGATTTATTTTTTATTATCTGTCACAGTATCAAAGACATTCTCTATTATCAATACATTCAACTAAAACCTATTTCATATCTACATTAAAAGGTGATATCAATGATGGCTTTCATTTAAAAATAGATTACATTATTAAAAAAGTGAATATTCACTGTTGGACAGGTGAACTTCTTGAAATGAAAAATCACATTAGTTTTCTCTCTAATGTTGGAGAAAATTATGTATAAAGTATTCATTAAGATATGGTAGAAATAATGGAGACATTAATGGACAAATAATGGAAGCATGTTTGACAAAGTGTTATGTAAAATTTAGACCACCAATAATCAGAAAGCTACATCTGCTGCATAGGCTAGTCGTTCTGGTTTACAACTGTTCTTTCACACTGGGGAAAAAAATGACATCAAATTAGTCAGATTAATAAAACAATGGTCAGTAGGGGGAAACTAGTCATGGGGGCATTGCCGTTTTCTCATATTCAGATAGAGGTTCTGGTACCTGCTTAAATTTATAAATCAGATTATTCTACATAATAATTCCAGTAAGACAAGACAAAATTGGCACATATATCCATGACTTGTGTACTGGATTTAGTATATGCAAAAATACTAATTTCCTACACGCATGTCAATGTGTGTGTATATAGATAAAATGAGAATAGCAACAACTGAAGTTGAGTGACTTGAGTTCAGTAACAGAGTTACTCACTTGAGAAAAGGGATGAAATTTTTAGAGATACAAAAAGCTCCAAATAGTTACAAGATTTAACCATATTTGCTTGGAGTTGAACTTCCAATTTTTAAACAAAATTAGGCATATGATGCCTTTGTTCTTTGCAGCAGCAGAAGCAGCTTTTGACATTGCCCATGAAATAAAATCGGGGCATTCAACTAAGATGAAGGCACTTTCTTGACATTCTTATGGACAAAGTGGAATACTGAAAACTGAGGCAAATATGGTAAATGTGCTGTTCTTATACTTGCACTCTTTCTAAAAGGGTCTAGTACCTCAAGAATGAATTTAATTATCCCTTCTTCTCAAGATTAGGCCTTAAAGATGTGACAGGCTAAATGTAACTAACAGTGTTTTTGTAACCTATGTATTATAAAAAATGATTTTGTTTATTTGCACATACTCTTACGACATATTTGGTACTATAACCTGGTTGCTATGCCATGGCAAGCTGTAAATGACAGAGCTGAGACAATACAAAATGCTGATAAGGTATTCTAGAAATCTGATACAATCCTATAGTGGATAATAAATATTAGGACTTGTTAAGAACATACTCTTCTTCAAGAGTAGCTTCCACTTTTTTTACTTGTTCTTGGATTGATTTTGCCTGCTGCTGAAGGAACTGCTTGCTCTTTGAACCAAGCTGTATCTCAGAAGAATTCTTCACCAGATTCTCAGCCTGCACTGCCATTGCTTCAGTCTGTTTAGAAAGTTCCTGTAAGGGTGCAAGATACATTAATACAACTATGAACAGTTTCATATACTTACACAAAATATTTTTCTTCAGTGTTTGTGCTTGGAAAAAGTGTGTGTTTCCTGCATATATGTTTTAAATGTGTAGACTCATAAAAACAGTATCTGAAGAAAGTTATTTTCATGTTGCAGTTAAGAAATGGTTATTCAAGCAAACTAGCTTGAATAAAATTTAGCAAGGGAAACTGTATCTCCAAAAGTTTTTAGCTCAACCCATCCATTTATTCTGTTACTTTTCAATAAATTTATTGGTGAATTGTGGAAGATTATATGCATCTTTATTTAATCTGCAGATCTCACCCTTTACAGAGAGGATTTTGCAGTATCTCATAGTTTGTACTCTCGCTTTGTTTAGCAACTATTTTCTGCCACAAACATTAAACCTATACACCAGAACAATGGATAAGCATAACCAAGATATGTAGAATTTAGTATCACATTAATCAAATGGTAAAATCAGTGTGAAAAGCATGGCACTTGGGAAAGTAAATCACTACTATTGCTTCTATATTAGTAAATAAAATGGGCTGGATAATTCTGTGTTACTAACAACAAGTGGAAAGTTATGGCTCATGTCCATGTTGTAGAAATCTCTCCTTTTTCTCCCAGGGCAAAAAAAGTGACAGTTGCCACAGTCCACATAACCTTGCCAAAGAGGACTCTATTGATGTTGATATGCCAGTGCTTGACATGGTTTAGTTTACTAGTATAGATAATTACTGAGCATAAAATGGGAAGTCCTCAAAGTCATTTTAACTTCCGTATGTGTGCTTCAGATGCAAATCTTGAGTAATTCTTCATATTTTCATAAAATAACTTTTTACCTATAAAGAGTTTATGCAGTCTCTCCTCTGCATACACAGTTCGCACCAGCATTAAAGGGAATCCATGCAAAGATTGAAGGCAGTATGCCCACTACATATTAACAAGCAATGCAGAAAGATATCTCAGTTCCTGTATTTCACACAGTGAATATTTCTTCTTTAAATTGTTCTGAGGAGAGGCTCTCTAAACTGCTAAAGTTTAAGATACGTTCAAGCGCAGAGCTTGCTTGATTGAGATATTTTACTACTGTTTCTTTGTCTCTTTCGAACTGCTCCCATTTATTTATTGTGACCTACAAAACAAACAAACAAACCAACCCAAAACAGGAATACAAAGACAAAAAGACCAAAAGGGAGAAAAAAAAAAGAATTGTAAGTTACTGAAGAAGGAATAAAGACAAAAAACTGGCATAAAATAAAACAATTTCAACTTAAATGCCATCTACTCAACAGATGAAACTATTCTGAACCGAACAAAGGAAAGTTTCCCCTTGAATTTTGACTGATTCATGCTGAGTTGTGCAAAAAAACACTGTTCTCCAAGGTGCCAGAAATATTCAACTCTTATATTTCAATGTCCTAAAAGAAGTCTGAAGTAATAAATGCCAATACTTATGCTTATGGTGACGGGTAGTCAACAATAGCCAAAGGGATTTTCAAGGTCTCTAATGCAATAAATTACAGTAAAATGGTGGAAGAAAATCCCTACTCATAGGAAACTCACACATAGGAATCTATTTGTTCTTTTCTTATAATGTAGAATTTTGATTAACGTTCAGCATTTAACTACCAGTCACAAGAATTCTGACAGCATAAACAAGTATTTTCTTGATTCTGAAGTAAAACAAAGCCTGAGTTATGACTTTATGTATGGGATTCCTTTGAAAAAAAAACTAGTTTCAGTAATAAATTCTTACATTAAGAAGTTACTTGAGCTGTATTGATCATGTTTTTCATTTTGTGCTTACCAGGGGAAA